TATGCATAATTAGATTTTTAATTTGTTTGTTTTTAATTTTATACTAAAAATAATAAATTTTAAAAAAATATATTATACAATGTATTAAATTAAAAAATATATCAATTAGCATATATATATATATATATAACCCATTGGAATGATCTACTCTGTACCAACCCAAAAAGCCTTTCAAACATCCACCTCCACGCTCTAAAACGGTGTTCTCATTTCGGGCTAACCAAATAGATCAAAAACTTTGGCCGAATGTTTAGAGGTCTGGAAAACTCATATTCACTTCTACTTGAAGCATATTCACTCTTAAAACGCGTACTTTCACCAGATATATGAAGGCTTAATTAACATTTTTTTTATTCGTTGGTATAAAGGGGAGCAATGATCAATCTGATGTTCAGAGGAGATACAAAGTCCCACAGCCATTTAGGCTTAACTTGCCTTAACAAGTTTGTTTTTTTTTTCTTTTTTTTGGCTACAATATGCAATTATATATGTACCCTGCTGCCCTCTTCCTACTTCTGTGACATTTTTGTTTTTCCAATTTCATCATTATTAATTCTTCCCCATTAAGTAAAAAGATTAATCTGATCAACAAGCAAATTAATGGTACGTACTAAAACAATCACATGGTATACATCCACTCATTTGTTATACAAAAAGATGAAATATTATTGTACATATTATGTATATAATATGTATATTAATTTGACAGTGTATACTATATTGTGTGTACATATTATATGGCCAACCGAAGCAGCACTTTTTTTTTTCTTATGGAAGACAAAAATAAATTTTACCCTTGTGAGAACAAGAGATAGTTGAAGCCTTACAATCACAAATAGAAAATCAACCATTCAAACAACACAAGAACAAACAACTCGCGGTACATAGATGCAATTGATATCCAAATTTCCTGTAATTAATTAGCATTCCCTTGGAGATTCAATGTCCATGCATCGACCATTTTGTGTTGTTCTTCGCGATCATGAACTCACTGGCAGAAAAGGAAAAGAGAAGTTAGAAAACAAGAGGTGTCATTAATTTATGCCAAATTCCCTGAAACAGAGAAAAGAGGAAAGTACTTAAAGAAAAAAAGACTGACATATATTGATTAGCTTATAAAACTAACCGGAGAGAGCGAGTAATGTCATTAGCTTTGTTGAAATCATTGTCTTCTCTAGCCTTGAGGATTTGAAAGAGAAGGGCAAGCTGAAAACGTGTCGCCGCACTCTGCTGGGAAATGAGCTGAGTTTCCTTCTTGAGGTGCTGACATTGGGATTCAATCATTTTAAACTTCTGTCTAACTTTTCTCTGCTCCTCCTTGATGCATTTTTGCTGATTACCAATCTCTTCCATCTGTTCCTTCAACTTTCTAAGTCTTGGTTTTAACCTTCTCATCATCCCCTTTCTTTTCTGAATGCAAAATCAAACCCTCAATATATGTGAGATATAAAGCACTACCAATTAAGCTTTTTCACAAACAACAAAATTAATCCGTGATGAAAACAACCAACAGCAAAATAAATACCTGCTGCTTCGATTTGGGAGCCAGAGCCGGAGTTGGAGAATTTATGTTGCTTGGTGCCATAGGTAGCCTCCTCATTTACCTTTCCAATTAAGTTCCAACTAGCTTTATATTTACATTCGGATCTGATTCTTTCTGATTAAGTAAAGTTGTAAGCCTCTTCGAGAAGGAACTTCATGTTGGAATTTAAATATTTTAATAAAAAATAAAATAATATATTTTATAAATTAAATTTATTATCATATTAAGAATTTGCTCAAACTAGTCGTTGTAGATTAATTACCTTACTTAAGGGTACATTATTTCATAATATTTGTTCAATTTATTCCTATCATTAACCTACAAACGTGAGTTATAAGACCATGAGTTCGATAAATAGGACATGCCTATTTGCTCAAAAAAGGGGTGTTCCTCCACATTCTTCTATTTTTCTTACCTTGCTTTATCTTCTAAATATTCTTGGGTGAAGAAGAGTGTTTTGAGTTAGGTGACTCTATGAATAGTGCAGATTCATAGAGTGTAATTATAAAACTGTAGCATCCTAGGGGTGACATGCTAAATGTATCTCTGCTGCACCGGTTGATCTACTCTCCGTAGAGGCATGAAAAGGCGTGAATTACCTTAAAGTAAGTAGGTTTTTCACGCTTATTTTTATGATATTTTCTTATCAATATTTCTT